CATGGAATGAACCATGTCCAACAAGGTCCGATTACGCCTCTCATTCACACCATTGAGTTGTGGTGTCCTAGGTGGCGTCAATTGTGAAACAATTCCACATTCCTTAAGATAGTCGTGGAACTCGATACTATGATACTCACCACCCCTATCGAATCTGATCATGTTGATCTTCCTGCCCAATTGATTCTCGACTTCATGTTTGAACTCTTTGAACTTTTCAAAGGTTTCTGAATTATGCTTGATTAAGTAGATATATCCATATCTGCTATAATCATCAGTAAAAGTCACATAAAATCAATTTGCATCCCTTGTGGCGGATCTGAAGGGACCACACACATCGGTGTGTATGAGATCCAAAAATCCCTCACCTCTTTCACAAGTACCAGTGAAAGGTGATTTGGTCATCTTTCCAAGTAAGCAAGATCTGCATGTATCATCCGACCTAAGGTCAAATGACTCCAACACTCCATCCTTTTGGAGTTAGGCAATGCGCTTCTTGTTGACATGTCCAAGACGACAACGCCACAAGCATGCTTTGTCTAAACCATTAGACGAATCAATATGTAACACATTATTTCCTAAGTTATCTACAACCATCACAGTTTCATATACACCATTACAAGGCATTACTTCAAAATAAAATAAACCATTATAATAAGCATTAATAGAAGCAATTTCATTATTAAACGAAAATCTTAAGCCTTGTTTGTACAAACCATGAAAGGAAATAATATTCCTCGTCATTTCTGACGAGTAGCAACAATTATTTAAGTCTAAACAAAATCCACTAGTAAGCTCTAAAGAATAAACGCCGATATTGGTAACAGGTTGCGATCTCCTATTGCCCATTATCGGGTTCATCTTCCCAAGCTCCACATTCCTACTTTCTTTTAGCCCCTGCAAGTCAGAGCAAATGTGAAAACCACATCATGTATCAAGGACCCAAGAATTAGAATGCGATGAAATTTTAGACAAAATAATGTAAATACCTGCTGAGGTCGGCTTGATATCGCCGTCCTTGATATCCTGCAAGTATTTCGGGCAGCTTTTTTCCAATGCCCCTTTTCATGGCAGTAGAAACATGTTGCTTCTTTCAGATCAGAGGAAGGAGGGGTAGAACCGATTTTTCCTTTGGATCCACTTGAAGAAGATCCATCATGAGACTTTCCCTTCCAGTTCTTTGAGGGAGCTTTCCTCTTTTTCCCTTTTCCTTGTCCAATAGCCAGGACTGGAGCAGCAGCAGGAGTGGGAGTGGATTCAACACTTTTCCCTTTTAATCCACTCTCAGTAGTTCTTAGCAGGCCTTGAAGCTTGCTCAATGTGACTTCCTCATTGCTCATATGATAAGTCATTTTGAACTGATCATAGCAAGGAGGCAAAGAGTGTAGGACTATATCAATAGCCAACTCTTCATCGAAGTTCACATTCAACTTCAAAAGACGATCCACATATCTCTGCATGCGTGGCAGGTGGGTCGTGATGGACTCTATATCCCTCATCTTGGTGGTGATGAACGAGGTGACTATTTCATACCTCTCTTGACGCGCTCTTTGATGGTACTTTTCCATCAAGTCCTTACACATCTCATAAGGTCAATAGTCCTCGTAGAACCGTTGTAGCTCAGAGTCATAGTGGCTACCATAATGCAAGACACTTTAGTAGCATCCTTGCAATGAGCCCTATACTCAGCTATCTCTTCGGGAGTTGCTTTGGTTTCGTCTATCTCGTTCAACTCCTTGTCGATGACGTATTCCTTGTCCTCGTAACGCAAGGCCATTCGGATGTTTCGGATCCAATCATTGAAATTGGAACCATCGAACGTGACCCTCGCGTAAATGTTCAAGAGCCAGAAAGAGTTAGCAGAGTTGTTAGAGGAACCGAAAGCGTTATTGGAAGCTGACATCTGCAAAAGAAGGACAAGTTTTTGATTAGATAATGAATCCTTAATATAACACCCAAAATGAAATATTAAGGCTAAGACCCAACACAATAATCCACAATTCGGAAAAGGGATATTGTAATCCAATTGTAAATTATTTGAAGGTAGGTAAATGACGATTTACCAATTACACCACGAAAAACGAAATTAAAAGAATTAGGTTTTAAATGAAATGAAATTCCTAGATTCTTTGAGATTCATTGAACTATTCAATGACATGTTTAATCTCGATTATGCCCTTCAAGTTTGTGACTGGGATACCGAGTATCACAAACAAGGTGTGAATAACCATGCAAATTGGATTGGTATTCTCGATGTCATTTACCACCTAATCAATGTGTCGGTTAACCACACACGCTCCATTGATCAATGATAATTTACGATTTACCCATTGCCACCCTTATTAGTCCAAGTTAGTGTGCCAGTTAACCACACATGCTCCACTAATGACTTGACAAAGTGCAATGTGCAATTTCATGGACTAGCATCAAATTCACATTTTCCTAAAGTAACTAAGATTGAGAATTTATAAAAAAATTTAGTTACTTTATATTTATCATTACACTTATTAATGAGAGAATTAATGTCTTATCCTACCCGTTCGGCTAACGACCCTCCACCAATCAAGGAAGCGGTGGGTGAGAGTAGACACTCATTCAACCGCCATTTTATAGGCAATTTTCTTATACCCCCCTTATAGATCGGCTTCGTGAATGAGGCCTACTAACGGTAAGACTGACTTTTCTTATACATATAATTATTAAACTTTTAATTATATATAGTATAAGGGTGTATTTTAAACATTTCAAAATACTAGGGTTTTTAATCTAATTTAAATTTTTTGAAATTAATACATTTTAATTTAAAATCTTAAATATTAAAAACCTTGATTTAATAATTATCCAAAATTAAACAATTAATTTAAATTATTAAATCTCATAGGATTATCCATTAAATTAAATAAATAATTTAACCTAATCCCTTTATCCCCTAGATTTCGAAATTTTGTGAAGGGATATATCAAAATCATCAATTATCCATTTAAACAATTAAAAGATAATACCTACCCAAAACCCTAGATTTTCGAAATTTAATATTGGGGAAGTATTTTTGAAATTTCTAGGGTTAGCAAACCCTAAAAATCGAAATCATGAGGGTCAAAGGAAAGGGTTCAAAAAACCCATAATCAAATTTCGAACCTAGGGTTTTGAAACCCTAATTTCGAAAAATCCAAGCCCTAGGGTTTAATTGCCATAAACCCTAATTTTTCAAGTTCAATCTATTGTATCAAATCTAATTGAAAACAAAACCAAATGCTCTGATACCACTGATGGGTTTTATATAAACAATCTTATGTATGCATGCAACCCTAGATTAGATCTATGTTTTTCTCTATTAGACATACAATCATTGAACACAAAAGGAAAAACCTAATACGCATCTAATAATTCGATATCTACATATGAAAGATTAGTTCACATACCTTTTTTGCTATATAGTAATAACAACCAAAAATTTGAAGATCCTTGCTTTTGAGAACAAGTACCATAAGTGTAGTACCTCTAATGGCTCACAAACACACTAGGGCAAGAGGATGAATATGAGAGAGAGGAGAGAAGAGTCACTTGCTCAAAAATACGGCTCTTCTAGGGTTTCAAGAGGGTGCCCGAATTCAAGAGGCCAGAGGGTCTATTTATACTTGAGGCTAGCTAGGGTTTTGAGGCAGAAACCCTAATTCCTTAGCTTAGGGCCTAAGCAAGTCCATGGACTCCCTTACCTTACGGCTTGGACGAAAATCTCTAGAACCTTCTAGGGATTTTCGGCCCTCCCTAATAAGGGTGATCCAATGGCCCAAAACCTCAACTATCAAATATTTACAAAACAACCCCTGTACTTTCAATTCGTTCCTTTAATCCCAAAATTAATTCCAAATTAATTTCTGATTAAATACTTAATTAATAATAAGAATTTCTAAATAATATATTATTCTTATAATATATTAATAAATCGTTTTTATGCACCAATTTATTATTCCAAATAATAAACTCAACCTCTCTCTCCAATAGTCATCTTGTCTAGTTTTCAGTATGAAGGCAACCTAAAAGGATCATGATACTATTAAGTCAAGCACATACCAATTATAGTTATGAGCTTAGACATTTAATCCAACACATCCGTCCCTTCTCTTCTTCTTGCCGCCCTCATCAGCTCCCTCATCGCTCCTTTCTCCTCATCCCTGTAATGGTGGTGCAGGTGGTCGTCACCGGCATCGGTTATGTAAAGGGCTCGCCGTTGATTTCCCTCTACTCCCCTCGATTTCTCTTTACTCCATCGATTTCTCTCTATGTCGTTGCTTCTCTCTACCCTTCACCAGCTTCATCTTCTTCGGAGGTGGGTCTGCTCGAAGGAGACGAATCTGAAGACGATAGAGAAGGTAACGTCCCCGACAACGTCTCTTATTCACGTCACGCGGTGGTGACCTTCGATTCAGCTTCAATTACAACGGTAAATTAATATTTTCGCCGAAGAAGGAAGTGAATAAGCAAAGGGGATGGTTCAAGCAGTGGATAGACAAAAATAGGTGGTTTAGGCAGCTGAGAGGCAGACGCATGTGGTTCTAGAAAGAGGACAAACAAATGGAAATCATTTTCTAGCAGTGGTGGGTGATGACAGGTGGCCGATGGTGGGTGGTGGTCAGTAACTGGTGGTCGGAGTGGTCGGAGTGAGAGTGCAAGTGGGTCCCACTAGTCAACTAATCAATTAATTCATTTCTTTAATTGAAAAAAAAACTGAAAAAAAAATGTTAAGGGCATTATAGTTCTTTTCTATTAGGTAGAGAGTTACACCGTAACAAAATCAAAACCTAAGAACGGTCCGAATGTAAAAAAAAATAAAAAAAAAACATAGAGACTAAACACGTAAATTTGACCAAACCACAAAGACGATTTTAATAATTTGTTCTTAAAAAAACAATTGATTTTTAAAAAAATAAAAAAGTAAAAATAAAAAACAAAAATAAAAATAAAAATGAAGTAACCCGAACACCTACCAAAGCTTACCTTTCCCATTATCAATACATATCTACACACTTCCCAGTTCCCTTCCCACACACTGCCACACAAACAGTATCAACTAAGAACTAAGAACCCTTACCCAACAATGGCGAACCAATTAGAAGAGTTGATTCTGCTGGATTTCTGGCCGAGCATGTTTGGGATGAGGGTCAGGATCGCACTTGCTGAGAAGGGTGTTTCATACGAATACAGAGAAGAGGATTTGAGGAATAAGAGTCAGCTTCTCTTGAAGATGAACCCGGTTCACAAGAAGATTCCGGTTCTCATACACAAGGGCAAACCAATCCGCGAGTCTAGCATCATCGTTGAATATATCGATGACGTCTGGAAAGACAAATCTCCATTGTTTCCTTCTGATACATACGACAAAGCTCGTGCGAGGTTTTGGGCTGACTTTATTGATAAGAAGGTAACTTTGACCTTTCTTGATTCTTTTTATCTACTAGTAATAGTCTAATATTATATTTACCAGGGTTTATAGTTGACGTTTTTGATTCCCCTTCAAGACAATTACAAATTACTTAATTTTGCTTAAATTATTTCTTAACATAAAAGACTCTAAATTCCATCCGTGTAGAACAATTGGGTTTAACTTTGCATCTGGGATTCTTGTATCAAGCAAGGTTCTTTCTTTCTAAAAAACGCAAGGGGAAAAGATGAGTACCCTTTTGGATTATATTCGCGAAATACTTTGTGCTCTTAGATTATGAAATCTTTTGTGTAAATTATTGTATGAAAATGCAGTTATACCAAAACGGGAGGACTTTGGTGTTCACAGCAGAAGGGGAAGAACATAAGGCAGCCAAGAAAGAGTTCATCGATTGCCTTAAACTGTTTGAAGAAGAGCTTGGAGACAAACCTTACTTTGGAGGTGACAGTTTTGGCTACGTTGATGTGTCTTTGATCCCATTTTATTCATGGTTTCATTCCTATGAAATCTATGGAAAATTCAACATAGAACAAGAGTCCCCAAAACTGATCGCATGGGCCAAAAGATGCATTCAGAACAACCAAAGCGTGTCTAACACCCTTCCAGACTCGCTAAAGATCCTTGGCTTTGTTCAGATTGTAAGGAACGCATTTGGACTCTGCGACTAGAACTTTGAAGCTATCAAAGCCAATATGTTGTTGAACTAGTTTCACTTTCTTGATGGAAAACACTTGGATGTGTTTTTCTTGTATTAATAAATGACGTTATATTTACATTTTGATTGTTACAATGTGTATCTTTACATATTTGTGCTTTTTGAATCTACTAAACAGAAGCTGATGTAGGGGGTGATATAGTTCTTGTAGTCGAAAGCTTGGAACCAGCAGAAGTTTCATCACATGCTTCTTTTTTTAACTTGTGGTTATTGTATGCAGCTACACCACCAATGGCTGCACCAACAACATTGTTTCCAATCGTTAGTATTTTCTTGTGTGTAAGATTTAAATAGATAGACTAGTCATAAATTTTCAATCCAAAAGAGCCTTTAGTGAGAGAAAACAAACCCCAACATACTAGAGTCAGATGAGATTATGTTTAGCTGACATCTGTCCTAGATTTTTTCTCCAAAAACCAAAGGAAGAATGTGTAAACCTCAACATATATAGAGGTAGATGAGACTGTGTTTAGACGATGTAGGACATTAATGTGTCCCTATGCTAATCAACAATCAACTAACTGACATATGTTTTAGATTTTCTCTCCAAAAGCCTAATGAATAGTGGATAAACCTCAACATATATATAAGCAGATGAGATTGTGTTTAGCTGATGTCTAGATGATGTGTCCTTATGCTAATCAACTGACACATGTCCTAGATTTTCTCTCCAAGAGTCTAATGAGGAGTAGGTAAACCTCAACACATATAGAGGCAGATGAGACTGTGTTTAGCTGATGTGTAGATGATATAGGACACTAATGCACCCCTATGCTGCTAATCAACTGACACATGTCCTAGATTTTCTCTCCAAGAGTCTAATGAAGAGTAGGTAAACCTCAACATATATAGAGGCAGATGAGAATGTGTCTAGTCATTGTGAGAATAAATGTAATCAATTTTTAATAACCAAAGAATTACCTATAGCATAACCGAAGAGATTGACCATGGAGAGCTTTGTATCGGCAAAAAGGATGGCAGACAACAAGACAACCACCCAATCTTTAACAACTCCAGCAACACGAATAGTTAAAGCACTTGTATGTTGTATCACAAGAAAAACCGATAAATTGAGAGCAAAAGTAGAAAGGGAATTGAAAGCTAGCACCAAAGGCCGAAAGCTCCATGACTCCATCTTTGGCATCTCCAAGAAGATCCATGGAACAAACAAGCATACAGCGCTGCACAGCGAACCAAAATTCTGCTCACATGGGCAGAATTTCTCTATATATAAACATATAGACAAGATGTATATAAAAACAACATACTATACTTGGTAACTTTAGAAGTTAAAAGATATATACATGCCTGCATGGGCTGACGTAAAACATCATGGAAATGGGGTTTAGTCTAACACCCTTTCTTTTCACCAAAATCTCCATGAATATGAGCCTCAATGCTTCACCAACAACACCTCCCATTTGATAAACAACACCAACCCAATTGATGTTGATTTCTCCATAAGATGCCACTAAAACTCCAAAGCTTATTACAGACATTATAAGAAGCATGCTGCAACTCATTGCTTCAAGTCCAACTGCTACACCAAGAGCAAAAACGACTACGGGCACTGTGTATCAAAAAGATTTTTGGATGTATATACGATTCATTAGATCTTGTATATATGATAAGATTAAACGTTTTATGTATACTTACTTATTGCTTTTAACATTTGGGCAAATGATACGGATATATAGAGGTATGCAGTGTTTCCAAGCCAAAGAGTCACTGCAAACATTGCACCAATTGGAAAGACTGACGTGGTGTATCTGCATGCAAATTAAGTAGTGTTATATATTCCTTTTAACATTTGGGCATATGATACGTATATATAGAGATTGTTTCTTGTTTGTTGCTCACATTTCGAGAGTCA